CATGCCCTCACCTGTCTTATCTAGTCTTGTGGCTTGAAATGCCCTCCAAAAGCAATGCTAGTTTCCAGTCCACCCTCACCCACAGATACACATATGCTTGCTCACTGCTTCCTTTGGGCACCTAACTGGTATCTCAGATGCAGTAAATCCAAAATTAAACCCCTGACCCTCCTCCCAGCTTCACATACTCTGCCCCCCCCCGAACCTCCTCTGCCCAGTTTTCTTCCTCCTCAATGGCGAGTCTCTCCTTTCTGTTTCATGCCAAAAATCTGGGAGTAGCCTTTGACACCCCTCTTCTTCTCATAACCACAACGTGCATTTAAGTGAGGGGGTCAGTCTATTGCAAAGTCCATTTGGTTCTGTCTTCAAAGTACATTGAGAATCTGATCACCTGTTCTCATTTCCATTGCTGCCATCCTGAACCTTCACTACAACAGCCTTTGACTGTTTTCCTAGTTTTGATCTCGCCCTCCTACAGCCATTCTCAAGACATAAATCATATCATGATATTCCTCTGCTCAAAATTTTGTCAGGGAAATGGGCCCCCACCCGGCCCACTTTCCTTGGAGTAAAAGCCATTGTCTTCACAGTGGACCTTGAGGCGCTGCCTGACCTTGTCCAGGCCTCTCCTGGCTCACGCTGGGGGCCTGGCCCCTGCTGTGTCTCCCGCAGCCAAGACCCTCCCCCCGGGGCCTTTGCACCGGCTCCCTTTTCCCTAGATTGCTCCCGGGCTAGTTCAGCGCCTCCTTCAAGTGTTTGCCCCCACATCACCCTCTGAGGAGGTCTCCTTTAACCACCTTATTTAAACTATAATCTGGCCCCGGCCAGGGCAGCTGGGTTGGGTGTTGGCACACAAAACAAAAGGCCGCAGGTTCAATCCACGGCTGGTTTGATTCCCGTTGGTATCTCTCACATTGGCGTCTGTCTCTCTCCCTCTTTCTCCCTCCCTCCCTTTCTCTCTAAAAATAAATAAAAACTTCTTTAAAGAATTACGGTCTGTCCCCCCGGCCCACAATACCCCTTCCTGGCTTCATTATTTTCAGTGTTTCATACTGTGAAACGTCCCGCGTGTATTTGTGTCTGTTTTCTGTCACTAGAATATGTTCCAGCCCTGCCTCTGTTTTTAAAAATATTTTATTGTCCTATTACAGTCGTCCCAGTCCCCGTCCCCCACCACTTCGCCTGCCCGCCCCCACCCCGGGTCCCAGTCATCCCCCACCCCGTTGTCCACGTCCGTGGGTCTTTATGCTTGTCCTTCAGCCAGGCCCTTCCCTTTCGTTCCCCCCTTCTCCCCGTCCCCCCTTCCCTCTGGGCACTGTCCGTCTGTTCCTTGTTTCCATGCCTCTGGTTCTGTTTTGCTCATTTGTTTTGTTCACTTAAGATTTCATGTATTTCTAGAGAGAGGGAAAAGGAGGGAGAAAGAGGAGAGAAATATCAGTGTGAGAAAGAGACACCCATCAGTTGCCTCTCACAGGCGCTCAGATGCGAATCCCAGGCATGTGCCCTGAAGCGAATTGAACTGGCGACCTTTTGCTTCCTAGGACTACACCCAACTCACTGATCCACACTGGTCAGGGCCTTTGTCTTTCTTTCTTCTCTAAGTAGTTGTGCTTACCAATTTGCTGAAAGATGTCTTTGAAAAGTTCACTTTAGCATTTGAGAGCAGCCTGAGGATTCTGTCCTAGAGAAGAGGCCCCATCCCAGGCAGCGCTGGGCCCGGAGCCCCACAGGCTCTAACAGGAGAACCACGTGCTGAGAGAGGGGGCAGCGGGGGGTGGGGCAAGGGGGGCGGCCTTCACCAGATCTCAGTCCCCAGCCACCCCGGCCTGAAAGCGGGCCTCCCTCCCCAGGGACACCGCAGACAGCCGCCCAGAACGTGATCTTCACACTTAGAGTCCGGGGTTTCTGGAAATGAGTTGGGGTGTAATTTTCCTCACGTATGAATTTCCACAGAAGTTGAAATTAACTTGTGGAATGCTGAGGGCAATGCCATGTTTCCCGTCCATGGGGGAGCAAATTGTTCTGGATCACGGAGATGCCAATGAATTTTGTCCAGAGGCCAATAGGAATCTCCTTTAGTCCAATCTCATTTGAACCTGTTGTGACACCATTAATGAGTTAAAGAAAATCCTTGATACATATTCATGTTCTTCTATGTTGTGAGTTTACCTTAAAAATAAGTTATCCTTTAAGACTATAAGGGAGGAAAACAGTCTTTTTTCTCCCCCCCCCCCAAACTTCTCAGTTTCTTAGGATGGGGCGCTGCCAATTAGATTAACAAGACAGAGAAGTTTATTAACCTGTGTGTCATATTTGTAACACTTGGGAGTCCCTGGAGATGAGTGACTCAAAGAGGTGGTGAGAATTTGGGCTCATACATCTAACTTAGTGGGGGAAAGGGGAGGGTGAGAAAAGGAACTTCGGGAAATGCAAATGGCTTTCTGGAAAAATAAATGGGCCCTTAGGAGGATAGAGGGGAGACAGGCTGGTGTTCCACAAGACCGTCGGGGTGTGGTGCCAGATTTCTGGTCTCCCAGAAGAGAGGATTAGAGTTGCTCTGGGGGAGGGCATTTAGGGCACTTAAATTCTTTTGTGAGGCTGTTACTTCAGGCAGGTAAGTGATTTGAGAAGCTCAAATGTCTTTTTTTTTTTTTGAGTGAGAGAGGGAAAGTGGGGGGTGGGGAAACATCAACCTATTACTTGCCTCTCACATGCCCCCAATAGGGGACTTGGTCCTCAACTCAAGCATGTGCCCTGACCGGGAATTGAACCAGCGAACTTTCAGTTTGCTGGACAACACCCAACCCACCAAACCACACCAGTCAGGGCTCAAATGTCTTCAGATGAAATTAATTCTTATGCATATGCAAAGTGGCATTTTTGGGGGTGGCAGGTCCTGGTCTCGAACAACACTTACTTGTAAATCCCATTTCTTTGTATTGTTATGATCTCTAGCGTAGTGCCAAGTACAGAATATGTTTAAAATTTAATACATGTTTATTGACTAAAGGACTGCAATGTTGCAGAACAGCCTAGCCATACAGTCAAGGGCAACAGACAACATCAGAAGGCCTGGGAGGAGCTCCAGGACACGTCCAGCATTAGAGAAAGAGGACGCAGCAACTGATTTGTCCAAAGTCTTTCACAATTTCTCCGCACATAAAAATGGTGCAAAGAAATGCCGTGGATGAGAGCTAAGAAAAAAAAAGACCACTCGAGTTTGTATCCAGGAAGATTTCATAGGAATTAATATTGATTTTGGGATGAAAGAACGAAGAGGGAATCTTCATGTGAACAAGGGGAGAAAAGGGAGTTTCTACATAGAAAATGTAGTGAGCAAAAGCATGTGAGTAGAGAAAGCACAACTCAGATATAAAGAAGGAAAACCGCACACTCTGGTTGTGCCCTGGCACTTGAGTGGATTACACAGAGCGTTGAGGCCTCCGGTCCGAGGCCAATCGCCACTCAGAGGTGCTGGAGGTGCTGGGAGGTTTCTGAGCTAGAAAAGAGCTAACGTGAGTTTTATTTTAAAGGAACTTGGCGCCAACTTACGTTACTATGTGGGTGATCCAAGAGGACAGACATACACAGCTGCCAGGCAGTTGGAAATATGAAACAGGAGCTCAGAAATATGTCCGAACCAAAGACAAGGATATGGTAATTATCACAATAGTATCAGCTGAAATGAGGGGGCAAAGCTGCATACTGAAAAACTTCGAAGCATATGATCATTACAGTGTTTACCTTAATTTTCTTTTAACTGCCTCTCCCTTAGTATTATTATTTTTTTCTTCACAAGACTGGGTTCCTCAGAGTAGGAACTGTCTTATTCCAGCATCACAGGCCTGTGGGCTCAATAAATGTTAGCTGAAGAAACAGAATATGCAGCGAAAGGAGAAGACACTTTTCTCAGAGAGGTAGTGAGGGCGAAATACAGGAGGTGGAAGAACATTACATAATGGAGAAAGAATGAATGGCCACTTCATTGGATGGCTTCCAATCTTTTCTGAAAGCGTTTAATGAGTTGCAGAGCATCACATGATTGAGGATGGCATTAAGGGCTTAAGTAGAAGTGAAACAACTTACAGCAGCTGCAGCAAAAAAGAAGAAGAAAAATATTTTTTAAATAAAATTAAATACAAGTAAGTAAAACAGCTGCAGCCAGAAATGTGCTCAGCAGCCCCACACACTTGCATGCCTTCAGCTACTGCTCTTCTGGGCATCCGGCACCCTCCCTCCGTCTCCCTTCTCCCTGCCTCTGAGTCTACTCATCTTTCAAAGCCTAACTCAAATGCCAGCAACTTTTCTGGGACATTCTCTTTGACACAATTTCAAGTTAATCATTACTTGTTTCTTTTTAAAGATTTTATTTATTTTTAGAGAGAGGGGAAGCGAGAGAGAAAGAGAAGAAGAGAAACATCAATGTGCGCTTGCCTCTTGCACGTCCCTAGCTGTAGACCTGGCCTGCAACCCAGGCATGTGCCCTGACTGGGAATTGAACCAGTGACCTTTTGGTTCACAGGCCAGCTCTCAATCCACTGAGCCACACCAGCCAGGGCTAATCATTACTTTTTCTACGTTTGTCTTCTCTCTTTGTTAATCCCATTAGATTATAAATGACTTGATGACAAGAAGGGGGTTTTACTCATCTGAGTAGCCTCTTGACGTGATGGGAAGGAAGTATTCATTCCATAAATGTCTGCTGACATTTAAATTCAAAGAGTTTAAGACTGTGACTGCTATAGGGCAGAGAGGAGGAAACTGAAATTAAGAAGCTTGAAATCTTGGTGGACAAGATCAGTAAGGGTTCAAGAAGTCAGGGTTGTGATGCAGACACAAGAAAATTCAATAAAACTCAAGTTTTTTTTTTCTGTTGGGGAAATCTAAACTTTGGTTTCCCTACCTGAGAAAATGAAGACATGAAGCTCATGTGTACTTTATGGAAGGAAAGGAAACAATTTTCCCCAGAAAAGGAAAGCCAAACAATAAAGCCCTCAGTATTAGACCTGAACTTTTAAAAATTTTTATTGACTTTATTGGGGTGACATTGGTTAAAATAATGATATAGGTTTCAGGGGTAGGATTTTCTAAAACACATCATCTGTGCACTGTGTTGTGTGTTCACCACCCCAAGTCAGGTCTCCCTCCATCACCACTCGCCCCGCTGAATTGTTTTTGTCAATTACAGTTGACATTCAATACAGACCCATGTTTTAACCATTAACTTCTCCTCCTGAGCTTTCTGATCCCTTCAGCTGGATTCTAAACTTGTATAGGACAAAAGAAGTTGATTTTTTTTTTTGGTTTAATTTTTCTCCTTCATTTCTAAACTTTCTGAAGAGCAGTTAATGAGTACTAAAATAAACACAGGTAGGAAAAGGAAGGGGCAGAGGTAACTTACCAGAGCAATGAACTAGACGGCTTCAAATGGACATGCTCAGATCAGGTTCTGCTGCCTATGAAATGGGCACAGGGATTACATGAGAAAATTGTGGGAGAGATAAACGAGATGTAAAAGCACTAGCACCGGGACTGAACTTGTTCTTTGGAGAAATCACATGACATTGGTGGAATGTGCAAAAGTTAAAAAGGGGAAGATAAGTCTTCCTCCACACCCTTACCCTCTATTCTATCCGGTCTCCTCAGAGTCGACTCTTAATACCATTCCTGTGCATTTCCTCCAGGTAGCTGCAATGATGTAACTCACATTTAAAACCCCTTAGCTCTAAACTGGGATGGTCCTGCACATTTAATGGAATTATTATTTTATATTAAGATGGTACACAAATATGAGGTGTTGCTATTCCTAAAATGAAAAGCAGGGCCTAGACAAACATTGTATCTTTAACTTTATTTAGAACAGGTCTCTTGGATCCTTAGCATCAGCCCAGGCTCGACTGCTGTGTTCCATTGGCAGTAGTCCCATTCCTTGCCTTGACGACAGCTGGAGAGCAAGGCGAGACCACACTGCTTGACCCTGCCCTGGTCTGTCCCACAGGTAATCACGTACTCCAGCCAGCATGTCTACAATAACTTGACTGAGGAACAGAAGGGACGAGTGGCCTTTGCTTCCAATTTCCTGGCAGGAGACGCTTCCTTGCAGATTCAGCCTCTGAAGCCCAGTGACGAGGGCCGGTACACCTGCAAGGTGAAGAATTCAGGGCGCTATGTGTGGAGCCATGTCAACTTAAAAGTCTTAGGTAAGATAGAGTGCCAAGGTAAATGCCTAGCTCTTTTTCGTTTACATAAGTTAACCCATTTATTATAGGCTAGCAATGTTTCAAATTGTGGAGCTTCTACTGGTCTTTCAAATCCCTCAGTCTCCTTTTTAAAAGAACATTTTATTTATGTATTTTTAGAGAGAGGGAGGTAGAGGGAGAAAGAGAGGGAGAGAAACACTGATGTGCGAGAGATGCGCTCATCAGCTACTTCTTGCATGCCCCCAACTGGAGACATGGCCCTACAACCCAGGCATGTGCCCTGACTGGGAATCGAACCACTGACCTTTTGGTTCCCAGGCTGGCACTCAATCCACTGATCCACACCAGCCAGGGCTCCTTCAGTCTTCTGATGGCAGGCTTGACCGTGACAGCAGAAGTGGTGGTGTAGGTCCAGGCACACCAGCCACTGTTTTCATGCAGGAACCACAGTGCCAGATCCCCACAGCTCGCCTCTTGGTCTTGCCACAAAAGGAGCAAGTGTACTTTGTGTGCTGGTTGATCTCAATTTTCTTCACCATTTTCCTGAGGGAGGTGCCATAATGGGTGCTGTATTTACCGATGGTCCCGACTTCTTAGGGCATTTAGCCATTCTGCCGCAAAATAGTTTGGAACCCAAGAGTGACAAATGCCTACATCTTATTAATAAAGTCTGTGCAAGGGACAGTCAAATGCATCACGGTGCTACAAAAGTTCTTGCTCGGTATTTGGATTCTATTCAGAGTCACCTACTCTAGTTTCCTGGGAAGAAGTGTGTTTCTGTATTTTAACCATAATGAAAGAAGAAAAAATAATCACAATTTTCCACGGTAACCCATTTAAAAAAATTAAATATCCCTCTGGCCGGGTAGCTCAGTTGGTTAGAGCATTGTCTTGATACACCCAGGTTGTAGGTTCGATCCCCAGTCCAGGCACATACAAGAAGCAACCAGTGAATGCATAACCAAGTAAAATAATGAATCGATGTTTCTCTCTCAGATCAATGAAAAAATAAAATAAAAACATTGAGTATCCTCTAATATTTGAATAATCTCCTTATGTTTAACCTAAATCTCTCACAGATGTGATTCAAATCCATTTTTTTGTAATAGCAGGAGCTACTAAGTTCTACTTAATATCCTCCAAATTTATGAATTTCTGTCCTTGTGTCAGTATTAGTAAAACCACACTTAACTTTCCTGAAATTCCCCATTAAAATGTGTTGCTTCTTTGAGCGGTGATCATGTAGTTTCTGAGCGGCCGTTGAAAACTACAGCAGCATCACTGAAGGCAGCTGGAATTGGGTGTGTGTGTGTGTGTGTGTACAAGGGACAGAGGTGGGCGTATTTCTGGGGGCGACGTAACACAGGGCTAGGTTAACAGGGGAAGGCTATCAACAGGACATCACTCTCCCACGGAATCTACTGTTTGGAGATCTTTGATTCCGAACGTTCTTTCCTTGCCAGTGAGACCGTCAAAGCCCAAGTGTGAGCTGGAGGGAGAACTGACAGAAGGCGGCGACCTGACTTTGCAGTGTGAGTCATCCTCGGGCACCAAGCCCATCGTCTACAACTGGCAGCGAATCCCCGAGAAGGAGGGAGAGGATGAGTACCTGCCTCCCAAATCTAGGATTGGTGAGTCATCTTTCTGCCGGTCTATTGGGACGACAGGACAGACTTGATCCATGAATTCTAAATCTGGTTTTGACAGCAATTCATCCTCTGACCCTGAGTACACTACTGAACCTCTTTGAACTTCCTTTTTTCATCCATAAACTGGGACTGTCTTTTCTCTCCTCAGATGAATTGTAAATGTGGTAGAAAGAAATGTACCATATAAATCTGATTATCTTGGTTAGTATCTCTTAAATGTTCACAGCCTTTTGTGACTTTAGAGGATTCTTGATAATTTAAAAGCACGTTCACCTTTCTTCCCTGTCCCCAAATGGGGTCTACTCTGTCTTCTATGTCATCAAACTGCGTTAGAGAATCTTAGGTCACGGCTGTAGTAAAATAAGCAATACGCACAGAGCCCGTCACTAAGGGCAGTACGGCGTTCTCTCTGCCTGCACAGACAGCAGCAACCCAGGGCGCGTGCTGCTGCAGAACCTCACCATGGCCTCCTCCGGACTCTACCAGTGCACAGCAGGCAACGAGGCTGGGAAGGAGAGCTGTGTGGTGCGAGTCACTGTGCAGTGTAAGTACCCAAAGGGCATGTTTTCTCCCTCTGCGTTGTGGTTCAGCGTAAAACACATTAAATCACAAATAAGAGTAAGGTCAAGTAAAAGTCTGTATTTCCAGAGCAGCATGGTTCTCAATAAATTCAGGAGTTGCAGGGAAGAGTCAACAGTTATCGTTAACTCCCTATTTACAATTATGTGTGAAATTTATTGTATCTAGGAGGGACCCAAATGGAGATTTCCTTCACAAAGCGAGGGGTACTTCTATTTTCAGAGCTTTTCCTGTGTCTGCACTTTCTCAAAAATATTCATCTTAAAATAATCTTAAAGTCACAGACGCCTATTTTGGGTGGCATATTCTATACCCTTCACCATCAAGCGGGATGGTCCTGCACCCAGTGGGGGTAAATGGGGAACTCCGGAAGAGAGATGTAAAGACCTGGACAAGACCTCGTCCTGTCCAGGCTTGTGGTTTTCAGGTCCGCGTACTTCCTGGCTTACGTTCCCCTCTGTTTCTGCCTTTGCTTCTGAGAAAACAGATGCACAAAGCATAGGCATGATTGCAGGAGCCGTGACGGGCATGGTGGCCGGTGCGCTGCTGATTTTCCTCTTGGTGTGGCTGCTGATCCGAAAGAAAGACAAAGAGCGGTATGAGGAGGAAGAGAGACCTAATGAGATCCGGTAAGCCTCACCGCACAAGCTCTTCTGCCAGTCGGCTGCCCTTCCAGGGCCAGCCCCACAGTGACCAGCCAACACAAATGCCCCATGTTCTCTTAACCAAAAATCTAATCTGGTAGGTCAGGAACTCCAGCCTAGGACAAAAGGTCTGGCTGACCTTGGCTTTATTGAGAAACCGTCCATCCTCGACACAGACGGAAGAGATCACTCCCTTGGTGTCCTGACCCAAATGCATGCCTGACTCTGACCCTGGAAGCGTCAGAGCCAGCCTGGGAGAGACATAAACACTGGCCTTTGCTCAGAAACGACGCTGAGGTCGCAAGACACAAGGAAAGGTTGAGGAAGTGCTGAGGGAGACTGAGGGGGCCTGACAATGGAGTGTCATGCCTGATCTGGGATTTTCATTTCTGTGAAAGATGTTACTAGGACAATTAGTGAATCCTGAATAAGGTTGGTCGATTAGCTAGCTAATCGTGCTGTATCAGTGGTTAATTTCCTGATTTTGATCATTATAATGTGTTTATATAAGAGAATGTGTGTTTCCTTTTAGGAAATATTAGATGTTCGGGGAGAAGAGAAATTACATTACTTCCGATTCACTCAAGGGGCATCGGGCATAACCTGTGGGCCACGGAAGGGTCCACTCACAAACCCCACTAGGCACATGCCGTTGAGACCCCTGGGCTGACCAAGGGTCCCTTTGCCCGAGCCAAACATTAGGTCCCAGGAACTGGGGCAGTCACTAGGTCCCTAAATTACTGCCTATGTTCATTGGGGAACCTCAGAAGGAAGCGTACATAGTGGACATGTGCACAATCTCCTGCATTACATTTTACACTCGCTGTTTCTCCTCCTCAGAGAAGACGCTGAGGCGCCCAAAGCCCGCCTGGTGAAACCCAGCTCCTCGTCCTCAGGCTCCCGGAGCTCGCGCTCCGGCTCTGCCTCCACCCGCTCCACTGCCAACAGCGCCTCCCGCAGCCAGCGGACACTGTCCACAGAGGCGGCGCCACGGCCGCCGCCGGTGCCCCGCGCGAACGGCCGAGCGGGGCCAGGGGCCAGAGGTGCGGCGCCAGAGGACCTGCGCCCCGCAGCCCCGACCGAGGCAGAAGCCACACCCAGCCCGGGCCCCAGCCAGAGCCGGCCCTTCCAAACTGTCTGAATTACGGTGCACTTGGACTCCCAGGCTGTCCTTGGGGTCAGCATCTTAGGAGTTTTCTAGCCATCACAGCCCAGCCACCAGCCACACCACCCCCAATCATATGAGAGGTCACCTAGTAGCAGGGAGCCTTGCACCAGGCCGATTCAAATGAACACTCTCCTTAGAGCACACTGAACCAGGTGTGAGCCCACGCCTCCAAAACGGCATCTCCTTCTGCCTTCAGCCAAGAGTGGGGGAAGCAGGGGTTTGAACCTGTCTATCTGTGGGCAGGGCCTGGAGTGAGAAAGTCGGAGGAAAGAGGAAGTGAACCCACAAAGAACCTCTCACCTGAGATGTTTCCTACCAACACTTCAATTCGTGATTGTCAAGAAGCAACGAGGTATTGTTCATAGATCTCCTATGCCTTTCTGCAAGCGGGTTATTGATCATCCAGAGTCGAGCGGAACCCACAGCCTTACGTTAACACCTCTCAGCACTGTGTCCTGAGAAAAAAGGAACTGTGTCTTCTGTTTCATCCTGACTTCATTTACCACTAGGTTAAAATACAGATTTCAAGGGGAAATGAAATGATAGGACACAAAAGACGATAGTTGAGTTCCTCCCACTCCATCCACCACTAATTTCCCCCTACTTATACTGAACTACAAAAGAACCACAAAGAGTCCAAAATGTGTGACAGGACTGTGAAAAACGTCTCATCCTAATGATGTTCAGAGGGTCACTGACAAATGTCAGCAATGTACCCTGGAACAGCTGTGGGTTCCCCTCAAATGAGACATTTCTGAGGACTCCCCTGCTGGGTATCTCTGGAGGAACAAAACATTTACTATATGCCATTTAACAATGTCCCTATAAAGAAGTCTTTCCGTGTAACATCTTTTAAAGATGCTTTTAAACATCTTTTAAAGACCCAACATACCATTATAGTTTTTCTGAGAACATATAAAACCAGAATTTCAAGACTTCTAGACTAGATAGGGAGATTAAACTAATTTTCTTAATGTGTCACAGTATGGTATAAGGAAATTTAGAACTGCACCAAACTTGCGACTTTCTTTCGTTTTAGAAAAAGGATGTGAACCCGGGACTCCTGATGATTCTAGGCCTTCCACTATCAGGAAGATCAGGGATTGCCAACATTTCCTAACTGCCCCCCATGTCAAAATCACTCCTGCCTCAGAAGTTGAGACAGACGGAAATTCCACATTTTACCAGCTTAGCCTCTAAGGAAGTGCAGCTCTGGGGTAGAAGGAGATGGAATTAACACTTCGAGAAGAGACAGCATAATCAGTGAATGGCAGAACAGGTTTGTGCAAGTGTCCATTAACATTTTAATTGTCAGTATCTTGGAAAGCATTAGCAGAAATGATTCATCAGGGTAGCTCTCAGAAAAGCTGCTTCATGGGAAAAAGAAAGATGTCTAGAAAATGTAAAAAACAACAAAAACTAACAGCACCCACCAATACAATAACTTGCCCTTTTAATAGTTTTGACTACTCTGCCACTCAAACTCATCCTAATGACAAGAATTCAAAACCTGAAATAGCCCTTCAAGGAGCCAGTCGTTGGTAGAGCAAGAGATTTATTATTAAAAGGGCAGCAAGCTCTAGAAAAGAAGAGGCAGTGCTTCTCAAATGGGAATCAGATGCTGGCAGGGCAGAGGCCGGTCTGGGGTTGTGCTCCATTTCTCTGGTTTTCCATTTCTCCATTTAATTCTCACCACAGTGTCCTCATACGAAGCAAATGCATTTCCTTCTAAAGCCCTGTAAGAAACAGGGGTTTATCCTTGGGAGAAAGTTTTCATCTGCGTTTTGTCTTACTCTAAAAAAAGTTGGCAAGTAGTGTAAAAAATGTCTGGTGTTAGTTTAAGAGGGATAGCATATTTGGAATGTTTCTCATACTAATGCTGCCTCATTGTAAGAAATAAAATCCCTTTACTTTTTCTTCTTCTGGTGGTGGTATCCAGCAACGTATCACTACTTCTGCTACATAATACTAAGAATTCTCATTGCCAGAGTACCTGAGCCACACAGGTCACTATGGAGGCTGCAGCTCTACCACCACTACCTATTTTACTGTGAGCATTACTTTCTACCTTTGAACCTAAGGTTTCCCCGCTCATGCCTTTGAAAGCAGGGATCAGCCCACTTTGCATAAAAACAGTATTTAGGTAGTTTGAACATGTGGTTGTCAGAAGACTAAAATAACAAATAAATTAATAGCCAAAGTATTTATTTTGGAAATCTATTCCAATACAAATCAACAAAGAAGTCACAAAACTGATAACTACCTACCATCTGAGAAATTCTAGGGCCTGAAGATCCCGAGAGATAAGATGCTGGAGTCTTAGCAATGACAGTGCACTTCTCCTTGAGTCAGTTTTGGGTTCAGACATGACAGGATTTGGGCTTGAGATAAAGTCTGAGCTGCTGCTGGTTTCAAACCACATTCCATTAACTCTGCAAGTCAAATAAAGTTGATTATGAAACAAATAAACAAAGGATAAAATAACCAAATGACAGAAGAAAAAAATGTTTGTAGGAGGAAGATATAAACAAAATGATGTGAATGTTTCGAGAGTAACGATTTCAATAAAATATATAAATAAAATTTAAAATTGTAATTTAACGAAGTCGATGCCTTTGTTGTTGCACTGTATAAAACCAAGTTTAGAACTGCTGTTGCAGAGACTTCCTTTTGCTTCATTCTTGTTATAGTTTATATTTCAGTCTTCTAAGTTGCCTTGTAATTGGGACTTTGATCACGAAAACCAAATATTTATTACAAATGAGTTTGTATCAGCAATTAAAAAATAAATAAGGGTGATACTGTAGGAGAGGTTGAAGCTCATGTAACCTACACTGGAAATTTGTTCATTAGCTTTCTGCCAGCTGAAGAACTCAGACTGAATGTGACCTATTACTTGATTTCGGTCACAAATATACCAAGTACGTACTCACGAGCAAGATGCTAAGTAGTACTTGGTATCTCTAAGTGATGAGAATTCATGCTGGGGTTCCTGCCCTTAAGGACTTTATCAAAATAACAATATTTACTAAGCAAGTATTTTATGCTAAGGTAAAATACTAACAGAAAAGTCAGGTAAACACTAGGGATTCAAATAAATCTCAAAAAAACTTCAGGGAATTAAATGAGGTGCTTGGCACGTGAGAGACTGCAGCAGCGCTTGTCACAACCCTCCTCCCCAGTAAGAAGTCCTAGGCCCCCAACCCCTCTGCTGCCACCCAAATCTAACTGTAGATACTATCCATATTTGAGACCCTGTGCACCTGCAGAGCGCAGACAGGATAGTTGTCACATCCCGAACTCTAAATGTATAAATTCAGAGTCATCCTATTTCGTAAGAACACAGTCCCAGTCCTAGAACGCATTTTGAGAGTGATCAGAAACAGAGGTTACCGTTCTGCTTTCTGTAACCACTGCCGTTTGGTGGAACACCCCAAACCAGGGGATTTGGGCCCCAGTTCTATTTTTCCACTGGCTCGATGGTTAAGACGTTCTAGGTAGTTCAGAGATCACAAAAGCTGCAAAACATAGGGTGCAGTTCAGAGACGGGATTTAATAAACTGTGTGGGAAAAGGAAGATTGCAGGTACCAAACAAAATTGAAAGCAGTGTGTCACGGCACACAGCTTCCTTTCTGGAGTTGGACTTAGTGTTTCTGGACAGGAAACTGCACTACTGTGGAATGAATAAAAAAGAGCGAAGAATCTGGAATAAAGGGAGCTAGGTTTGACTGTAGCTCAGCCAGTTATTTCCCACAATGACATTGCTGAGCCTCATTTTTGCAACACGGAGATGAGGAATATATCTCAGAATATTGTTTCAATGAATAAATGAGATAACAAAGGAAAGCAACACCTTGTCACAGCATCATATAAATGTAGCTTCTTGACAGGTGGGGAGAAGTACCTGCCTGCATGGAATATTCCCTCAAAAAGGCAAATATAGAAAAAAAATGTTTGAATCTGTGTCTAGGCCTCCCTTACCGGCTTTGACCAGGACAAGGTGCCCTGCCCGTCTGAAAGAACACATTGGAAAGCGCTCAGGGCACTGACAAAGGCTCTTAGCGTGACAAGGCCGAAATTTAAATACTATTGTTTGGTGCACTCGATCAGTAGTAGTGTTTTCACAGCGTCTCTGCATAGTATCTCCCTTAGTCTTTCATAAAAGTCGTAGCAGGAAAAACACTACCTCACTTAATAAGAGGCTGCAAGTCTAACTCAAAGACACGGGACTCCAGGAACCCAGGTTTCTAAAGCCTGGCTCGCCTACAGGGGAAAAAGCTCGTTACTTTTCCTTTTCCTAATAACCAGGAGGAGGAGCTGAGCCCAGAAGCCCAGCTTGTCCTCGGCGGCAGATGGGCAGCGGCGGGGTCTGGGATCGCCGAGAGCAGGGACACAGGATCACAGTATCCGGCCCTGGGGTTGGACGGGGGGCCGTGCTGATTAGAGTCAAGCCCCTCAAATCTCTGCAACGGGAACTGTCGGCTCCTAGCTGCCACAGTGAGGTGAGGGTTCTGGGGGCCTGCCTGGCTAACCTGTCCCATCCTGCACAAACGCTCAGACGACCCCCCCAAACCCCAGCTCTGGGTGCGTCCGGGTAAGTTACCCTAACAGAGCTCAGGGGTCGGAACCTGCCTCCGGGCCCTTGGTGCCAGCCCTAGTCCGAAGGCACGCCATCTCGGAACCTGGGTCTGCGGAAACTGGCAGGGTCTGGCGGACCCTTGGCAATGCCAGGCGGGGTCGTGGGCAGCAGAATGAGGACCCGAGTGGGGGAGGGGCACGACAACCTTCGCGGCCATTTTGTCCTAGCTCCACTTCCGTCTTCTCTCCCCGAGGCCGATCCGGGGCCCTGCCTTCCAGCCGTGGGCCCTCCCTTCCCCGGTACCGCCTCGACCCAGATCGTAGACCGTGCGGCCATCATTGCTCGCTTCCAAGTTCGCCCGCCTTCCTCCTTCTCCTCCTCCTCCCGCCCCAGGTCCTAGCTCTCGAGGGGCGCAGGCGCAGAGGCGGACGCGCCCTGCCCCCGCTGGGGGTGACTGAGGACTCCCGCGCGCGGGCTCCTTCGGCCCCGCCCGCCCCGGGCAGTGCGGAGAGCGGGGGCGAGAATGAAAGTTCCAGAACGCTGCGGAGAGTGCGTCATCGCGGGGTGGGGTGGGGCGGGGCGGGGCAAGGCCCTTGGACAGAGCCGGGGTCGTCATTGGGGCTTGTGGAAGCAGCCGCGCGCCCATTGGCCGAGCAAGGCTTGATGGGCGGCCGGCAGGGCGGACCCCTTCTGGAAGGTTCTGAGGCAGGGTATAAGAGACAGGGTGGCAGGCGGAAACCGGTCTCATTGAACACGGTGGAGCTGTCCTGGTCTGAGTGTTTGCGGGCCTACGCGTACTAAGGTAAGGCCGCTGTCCTCGCAGCCTTTGGTAGCTTGTCAGACCGTCCGAGGATCGTGCGCCCCTGGCGCGGCCGGCAGGGGCCGAGTGCTCGGTGGGCCGAGTGCGGTGAGCTCTCCACTTCGCTGGGATCTTTGTTCCAGGCGGAGGCAGCGCCGCAGCCCTGCGTGGGGCCGCGGCCATGCAGTGCCGCTGCTGTGGCCGCGCTCCCCGGGGGATGGGGCAGGGGGCCCGATCCACTTTCCGGGCGCAGGAAGTGGAGCGCCCGGCGGATGCCGGCTCCTGGGAGAGGCCGGTCCTGCCGAGGCAGCCTTCGTTGGCCTGCGCCCAAGGCGGGGGAGGGGACCTCTGACAGCCGTAGAGCGTGGGCGGTGCTAGCTCCCGGTGCCCCCGGGCTATGCGGAAATGTCCGGGGAGAAGTGAGGTGCGGCCAGGAGCTGGAGGCCACGTGGTCGTCAGTGTCGCAGACCCTCCCGGCAGGTTCTTCCTTTAAGCCAGAGGCGGGCTCTGCTGCGTCTGGCGGCGCCGACACCTGGACTGCAGACAAGCGTTGTTTGCTCTGATTGTCCCGCGTGGTTACTCCCCGCAAGGGCCGTTAGTAAGGGGTTACCTTAACTGGTAGTTCCTGATAGTTTGACTTGACATTTAACAAAGGAAATGCTTCTAAATGGTTCAACATTTTCCTCCCCAGCAACCATGTCTAAGGGACCTGCAGTTGGCATTGATCTTGGCACCACCTACTCTTGTGTGGGTGTGTTCCAGCACGGAAAAGTGGAAATAATTGCCAACGATCAGGGAAACCGAACCACTCCAAGTTATGTCGCCTTTACCGATACCGAACGATTGATTGGTGATGCTGCAAAGAATCAGGTCGCAATGAATCCCACCAACACAGTGTTTGGTAAGCCCCTAATTTAAGGAGGAAAAACCCCGAAATAAGCCATGTTAGGAAGCAAGTAATTTGAGAAACAAGTTTCCCAGATAGGGGAAGGGAGAAAGAGGGAGGAGAGAACCGTTTCTCTCATGCCCCCAACTGGGGGCCTGGCCTGCAACCCAGGCACGTGCCCTGGCTGGGAACCCCACCTGTGACCTTTACAGCTCATTGGGGGGGGGACTCAGTCCACTGAGCCACACCAGCCCTGTAAGAGAAACTGAAGAATGAATAATTCAGCAGCTGGGAAAGTCCCGGTAATTGGGAAAATCATTTAAGTCTTAAGGGAACTGGACTTGGCACCATAATCCTTTGATGACTGCTTAGGCTAAAAATGCTACTGATGTTAGGATATCAGGAAAACCTGAATAAAGTGCTGGCTGTTCGGAAGTTGAGATCATTTACTGTGCACTTGGGTGGATAAGGCATTTTTGCATTTGAATAATGGAGAGATAGAGTATTTGGAAAGGTATAAGAAAACTAAAGATTGGGTTGTATTTGATGATTTGCAGATGCCAAACGATTGATTGGACGTAGATTCGATGATGCGGTTGTCCAATCTGATATGAAACATTGGCCTTTCATGGTTGTGAATGATGCCGGCAGGCCCAAGGTCCAAGTAGAATACAAGGGAGAGACAAAAAGCTTCTATCCAGAAGAGGTGTCATCTATGGTTTTGACAAAGATGAAGGAAATCGCGGAAGCCTACCTTGGGAAGGTGAGTAGTGCCGTGTTACAGATAGCTGGAGACATGAAAACACTAGATGCCAGGTTCCCTGGTGAGTGGATAACTTGGGTTTTGACCAAGAACATAGTAGTTGTTACAAGAAACTGGTCCATTTATTTCATTGGAATGTTTTCCGTAGCTTCCTGTGTTTCAAGTGTAATTTCCAGTAGTGATGAGCATGGGATTGTTGTGTTTATGAAGTGACTGGTGGTTTGGCTTCATTTTTGTGTCTCTTTTTCTAGACTGTCACCAATGCTGTCGTCACAGTACCTGCTTATTTCAATGATTCTCAGCGTCAGGCTACCAAAGATGCTGGAACTATTGCTGGTCTCAATGTACTTAGAATCATCAATGAGCCCACTGCTGCCGCTATTGCTTATGGCTTAGACAAGAAGGTATGTACCATTGTCATGGATATCCAGAGGGTTTTTAAGATTGTATATTTTTAGTGACAGGGAGGGAGAAAGAAAGGGTGAGTGAGAAACCAGTGCTCGAGAGATATATCCACCTATTGGTTTCTTTTCACACTCCCCTAACTGGGTACCTGGCACACAACCCAGACACGTGCACTGGGAGTTGAACTGGTGACCTTTTGGTTTACAGGTCAGTGCTCAGTCCACACTGAGCCACACCAGCCAGGGCTGAATTAAGCCAAGCCTCAATAAAAAAAGGTTGAGCCATCAAAAATGTAGATAACAACTAATACATCTTTATTCTAATGGCAGGTTGGAGCTGAAAGAAATGTGCTGATCTTTGACTTGGGAGGTGGCACTTTTGATGTGTCAATTCTCACAATTGAAGATGGAATCTTTGAGGTCAAATCTACAGCTGGTGACACACACTTGGGTGGAGAAGACTTTGACAACCGAATGGTCAACCATTTCATTGCAGAGTTCAAGCGCAAGCACAAGAAGGACATCAGTGAGAATAAGAGAGCTGTTCGTCGCCTTCGTACTGCTTGTGAACGAGCTAAGCGCACTCTCTCTTCCAGCACCCAGGCCAGTATTGAGATTGATTCACTTTATGAAGGAATCGACTTCTATACCTCAATCACCCGAGCCCGATTTGAAGAATTGAATGCTGACCTTTTCCGTGGCACCCTGGACCCTGTAGAGAAAGCTCTCCGGGATGCCAAGCTCGACAAGTCCCAGATCCATGATATTGTCCTGGTGGGGGGCTCAACCCGTATCCCCAAGATTCAGAAACTTCTGCAGGATTTCTTCAATGGGAAGGAGCTGAACAAGAGCATCAACCCTGATGAGGCTGTTGCTTATGGTGCAGGTAATTCTATTCTTTTAATTGAGCAGTTCTAAGAGGCAGCCTCTTAGTTGAGGCTCAAAGTGACTCGCTGTGATGAGTATTTATCAAACATTCGTAGTTTCCACTATAAGCTTAGCTAATGATAGCCTGACTTCCTTGGATGTCTGAGCGATCAAGATTTGTTCGTGAAAAAATGAGTTGTGCTGTGCTTTTTTAAACTTTTTTTTTTTTTTTAATCTAGCTGTCCAGGCAGCCATCCTCTCCGGAGACAAATCGGAAAATGTTCAAGACTTGCTGCTGCTGGACGTCACTCCTCTTTCCCTCGGCATTGAGACTGCAGGCGGGGTCATGACGGTCCTCATCAAGCGCAACACCACCATTCCCACCAAGCAGACGCAGACCTTCACCACCTACTCCGACAACCAGCCTGGGGTGCTCATTCAGGTATGTGTCTCTGTTAGCTTGGTTGGCTTTGACACACTGAGGTCCTGGAAACCTGGGGAAGACTTGGCTCACTGTGATGATGGATCCAGAACCATTCGTAGTTTCCACCAGAAGTCTCATGTTGGCCAGTTCCTTCCTTGGATGTCTGAGTGATGATCAGTCTTCCCCAATAGAGCTTATACTTAGTAGTACAAGAACTTGGTGACTTTTTAGTAATTTTTATTTTTAAATTTTTTTAAGACTTCACTTTGGTCTTTTTAGAGAGAGGGAGGAAGAAGAAACATTGATGAGTTTTACTATTTTACTACATGCCCTGACTAGGAATCAAACTGGCAGCCTTTCATTTTGCATAATGACACAGTTGAGCCACACTGGTCAAGGCAGTAATTTCTGTTTTCTACCAAGGTTTATGAAGGTGAGCGCGCCATGACCAAGGATAACAACCTGCTCGGCAAGTTTGAACTCACAGGCATCCCTCCTGCACCTCGTGGTGTTCCTCAGATTGAAGTCACTTTCGACATTGATGCCAACGGCATCCTGAATGTGTCTGCTGTGGATAAGAGTACGGGAAAAGAGAACAAGATCACCATCACTAACGACAAAGGTGAGTTGAAGCACAGGTGTGTGCATGTTGTCTGGTCTTGTGCCATGCTTTCAGTCCCAGTGGTTGCATGTTCCAGATGTTCCTGCTGTTGTAGGTTTCTGGTATTAACAAGACACACCTAAATAACTCCACAGGTCGTCTGAGCAAGGAAGACATTGAGCGCATGGTCCAGGAGGCTGAGAAGTACAAAGCTGAAGACGAGAAACAGCGGGACAAGGTGTCTTCCAAGAACTCACTTGAATCCTATGCATTCAACATGAAAGCAACTGTTGAAGATGAAAAACTTCAAGGCAAGATCAATGATGAGGACAAACAGAAGATCCTTGACAAGTGCAATGAAATCATCAACTGGCTTGATAAGAATCAGGTTTGTAATCACTTAAACTATTGAGTTGGGTGGGTGTGTAGGGCTTCAGTAAATATCTAGGTGCTTTTCTGTAAATGTATCGATTGGGTCACAAGGATGAACGGTCCAAACATTCGCGGTTTCCACCAGAATTCAGCCATGTTGGTAACTACCTTCCTTGGATGTCTGAGTGACCCAAAGAATTCATACATAGGTTTTTCATTACTGTGGCGGTAGTAGGTTTCTCTGTCTGGTGTCTGACCAGACAGCATCATGCGTGGAGCCTCCTCTCCTTGAAGTTTGGCGGTAAAGTGCTGTTGTGTTCTTTCCTCAGACTGCAGAAAAGGAAGAATTTGAACATCAGCAGAAAGAGCTGGAAAAGGTCTGCAACCCAATCATCACCAAGCTGTACCAGAGTGCA